TGGGCAAGTTCAAGTACAAAATGACCAGACTGACCACAAAAAAGACAGCTTCAACTTGGTTCTCAGCTGCTATTCCTCAGGTGCTAGTATAGCCTGACTGAGCTGCATTGGCCCCTCAGAATGGCGAACAGAGGAGCTTTAAGTGCTGTGCTGGAAGTGGAAGGCAGGGAGAACCAAAGGGCAGAATTGGGACGGGAACTACAGCCAGAGGAAGGCTGAGACTTGTCGTTCCATTCCTTGTTTTGTTCATATAGGTGATTGTCTACACTAATAGTGAGAGCCACAAATTCATTTAAACTCTTCAGCTCATCTCTGGTAGCCAATTCAAACCTGTTGCATCTCTGTTAGGAATGTGCAGAAATGTGTTACAAAGGTAGAATTACTGTATCTTTATTGAAGTGTTTTTATTCCTCTTATGTGTCTTCAGAGGCAGACTGAATGTGCTGGCAAATGTGATCCGGAAGGAGCTGGAGCAAATCTTTTGTCAGTTTGACTCTAAGTTAGAGGCTGCGGATGAGGTTTGAACATTATTTCGTTAGATTTAGTCAAGAGCAATGAAACAGATTTACACAAAAAATATAACTATGACAGTGCTTGTGTTAATGATAACAACTGATGTTTGGAAAATGTGTTTAGGCACATGAATAACTTTAAAAATGATTGACACTCTTTAGCTGAGAAAGCCTCTTTTTTCCAACCAGAATGTATCAATAGTAACTATGATGGGGTCCAGTTAAAAGTGGGGTCCAAATTAGTAGTGCTCCCCATCTGTCACACAGAGACAGCAAAGAGGTGGTACTAACTGTAAACCCAGAGGTGAGAGGTGAAAGATAGCTGTTATTAAGAAAATGTTATGTAATCAAAATCAAACAAAAGTGCAATCAAATCAAATCAAAACCTGAGAAAAAAAACAAAGTAAGACACCCGTTCAGCTTTTCAGCAGTTCTCATTCACTGCAATTATGACTTACACAAGTACGTTGGTTAGGTTAGCTGTTAAGAACAAGCTAAAAAGCCAATGTCAGTATGCCATGCAATTATTAAAATATGTGACCTGCCACATGTATTTAACTCTAGCATATTAATTCAACTGTAGACTGATGGTTGCAGAATGCAGAGGTATATCTAAAAGGGGAACATGCAGTGGCACAGCACCTTCCTAAAATATAAATTTATTACATTAAGTGCTATATTACTATGTTTTTATAGATCAATAAAAGTAGCAGATTATTATGTTGGGTTATTAAATTAATGTTAACATTAGCTCCACCTGCAATATTAAAAATGTGTAGGCCGTCTATTGAATAGCACATGTGCACATATGTTATTAATAAAAATAAATAAAGATGAAAGGTTCAGCATCTGACTTTGTGCTCTCAGGGTTCTGGCGATGTGAAATATCACTTGGGGATGTATCACAGGAGGATGAACCGGGTCAGTGACAAGTACATGACATTGTCTCTCGTGGCAAACCCCTCCCACTTGGAGGCCGTTGATCCAGTGGTGCAGGGAAAGACCAAAGCTGAGCAGTTCTACTGTGGGGACACTGAGGGAAAGAGAGTATGTTGAATTTTTTTCTTTACCATATAAACAGAAGACAATGTCTCCGTGGATGTTTTCCAATATGTTTGCATTTTGGTGAATCATTTTGCAGGTGATGTCTATTCTCCTTCATGGCGATGCTGCATTTGCAGGTCAGGGTATAGTGTATGAGACATTCCACCTGTCTGACCTGCCATCCTACACCACACATGGTACAATACACGTGGTGGTCAACAACCAGGTATGGACTGTTCGATTCAGTTTGTTACGTTTAAAATTCTTTCAGCAGTTATCAAGTTTATGGTATGGACAGGTATTTCAACAAATAGATCACTTAATGGTTATAATAATAATAATGGTTTTGTAACTGAATTAGTTTTCCCCAGATAAAACTAGGCTTCTGGAGTATGGATTATTGAATATACACTAAAAGTACTTTTGAATTGACCATAATACTGTGTATTTAACACTGCGTGTGAATTGCTGCAATTGCAGTTCCAGCAGTTAAAATGAGCACAGTGTCATAACTGTAACTGGTTTTAATATACATGTGTGTTACTCTTGCCCACATAGATTGGTTTTACGACAGATCCCAGGGTGGCTCGTTCATCTCCGTACCCAACCGATGTAGCTCGAGTGGTCAATGCACCCATCTTTCACGTTAACGCAGATAATCCAGAGGCTGTGATGTATGTGTGCAAAGTTGCAGCTGAATGGAGGAACACATTCCATAAAGATGTCGTTGTAGACCTGGTAAAAATGCTCGTTATTATAAATTTTTGTTAACCACCAAGTAAAATGACCCTGACTGAAACTGCTGTTATTTAAGAAAAAATACTTTGAAAACAGGAAACACTTTTACTAACTATAACCCGAAATAATGAAAGTAAACCTGTGAACAAAGCATAAAGTAGGAGTAAGCATGTTTCCAACATCTAAAAAGGGCATTAAGCCCCATCTGACCTTAGAAACATGACGGTTTAATTCAATTCAGTCCAATTTTTGATTAATCCAATAAGGGATCATTTGTTAGAAGCAGTTTAGAAAAACACAGACACACACACACACACACACACACACACACAAATGAACTAAATCAAGGTAAAAACTTTAAAAGTGAGGAGTTTAGAATAATGGGTAGTAGTAGTTTACAATCAGGTGTAGCATGATGATACCCTAATGGCAACAAAAAATAGAATAGAATAGAATAGAATAGAATAGAATAGAATAGAATAGAATAGAATAGAATAGCCCTTTATTATCATTGTACATGTACAATGAAATTGTGGAGAATGAAATATTCATTCTCAGGGTGCATTCAGAAAAGGCTAGAATACCTGTTGCTATCTCAAGGATTAGTTGGTTGCTAAAAGAAGCTACGTCTATTTGCTTCACTTATCTTCCAGTTATCTTAGACTTTAACAATACTGTGTGGATGTGAAATGAGCCAGTAGAAGAAAAAATAATAGAGTCAAAAGACTAATTAAAATGATAGATGGTGGGATCAGCTGTGTCATTTAAATGGACTGTCACTTTACTGCACTGTGCCAACAAGTGTGCCAGTCAGTACTGACATACTAAATTTTCATACAGCATACAGGGTCAAATAGGTGATCAGAAAAACAAACATAAGTATTTGCCTCTTCACTCAGGTGTGTTACAGACGGAACGGACATAATGAGATAGATGAGCCCATGTTCACACAGCCGCTGATGTACAAGCGCATCAAGAAGCAGAAAGGAGTCCTGCAGAAATTTGTTGAAAAACTCATTGATGAAGGAGTCGTCACAACTCAAGAATATGAGGTAAAGCTACCTGCACACCTGTGCTGTAGATGGTTATGAAGCATGCAAATTGTAGACAAAGACACAATATAACTTCTTCTGACCTCCAAGTGGATTTGATTTTTGGCTGCAGTTTTAAACTCTATCACACATTTAGCTTGAGCTTACTCAGTCCGAAGATGATGATCATTGTCAGGATTTTATACCGAATGAAAAAGCTCAGCTAATTCTTTGAGACTGATCAAGTAACACACAGATTTCTCATGTGGACAGCTGTCACTGACAGTCAACTCCAGTCTATATGACGTAATGGACCTTCTCAGCAGGTTGAGTGTTAAAGTGTGAGCCATTCAAGAGAGCTAACCTCAAGTTTTCTGAAAATCTTGTGAATGCTAAAACTCGAGAAGGAAGTCACTTAGGATTTTGTAATTACCATAGGTGTGTCTACTAGGAGGCTGCCACCAGTATTTTACTTATACTGTTGCTATCAGTTACTAGATTAAAAATCACAATGAAGATAAAAAGAAAGACTAAATTTTCTCATTAGATGCCCAACTTGCATTGATCTCTTGCAGGAGGAAGTAGCCAGTTATGACAAAATCTGTGAGGAAGCTTATACTCGCTCCAAAGATGAAAAGATCCTACACATCAAGCACTGGCTAGATTCACCCTGGCCCGGTACGACTACATGTTGTTAATGAAGCTAAACCATTTCTGTGTGTTGTTTTTTTAACTCCCTATTTTGTCAAGAAATTAACATCAAACACAATAAATTAAGACAGAATACAATGAATACAACTGAATACACAGAATATTTTTGAATCTTGGGCAAGAAGGGCATCCCATGCATGCCTCTTGCTTTTAATGCTTTTGTGTGTCTGTGTATTTAGGCTTTTTCACACTGGAGGGTCAGCCTAGAAGTATGACCTGTCCTTCGACTGGCATCAGCGAGCAAGCGCTCAGCCACATTGGCAACATTGCTGCATCTGTCCCAGTGCAGGATTTTGCTATACATGGAGGTGCCCTCATGTCTCGTGTGACAAAAATGAAGATCCACTGAATGTACTTTCAAGCTGTTTTAGACCTGGATTTTCTGCATTGGTGTTCATGTTGTAGGCTTGAGTCGTATCCTAAAGGGACGTGCAAATATGGTGAGCCAGCGACTGTGTGACTGGGCTCTAGGGGAGTATATGGCCTTTGGCTCTCTGCTCAAGGAGGGAATCCATGTGCGTCTCAGTGGTCAGGATGTGGAGAGGGGCACGTTCAGGTAAGAAATAGATGTACCATCTATGTACATGTTTATGTAGCCAACTTCCTAAGAATAAAATATCAAGAGGTGATTGCATCTAAATCTCTTTGACCTGTGCTTGTATTAATTTCTTCACCTGCATCTTATCTCTGAATTTAAAAAAAAGGGACAAACTCAGTCATACCACTCATTTTTTTCTGGTTATATTTCACAGCCATCGACACCATGTTCTTCATGACCAAAATACTGACAAAAGGATGTGCATCCCAATGAATTATATCTCCCCTGATCAAGCTCCTTACACTGTGTGTAACAGCTCTCTATCTGAATATGCAGTGCTGGGTAGGTAACATAAACACAATAAAGTACCAAAATCTGGTGCGTTTTGCATGATTCTTTGCCTACCTCTCTGTCTCCCACAGTACCTGAAGTACACTATTTCACAGTTGAAGTGTCACTTTTCAATTTGCTGGCATGTTTCAACATCAAGGCTTCCGTTTCATTCTTCTCTCCCATGTGCAGGTTTTGAATTAGGCTTTGCTATGGCCAGTCCCAATGCACTGGTTCTATGGGAGGCCCAGTTTGGAGACTTTCACAATACAGCCCAGTGCATCATCGATCAGTTTATCAGCTCGGGACAGGCCAAGTGGGTCAGACAGAATGGCATAGTGTTGTTGCTTCCTCATGGCATGGAGGGAATGGTAAGAATTTAATCTACCACATTCCACATGTATCTCAATTTGATTTGTCTCACCATCAGAGTTTGGGATTGTATTACCACCTTATAATGCAACGCCTGCCTTGTATTGATGTCTTCTTGATTTTACGAATTGTTATATTTTTAATACCATTCTATGGGCTTGCACTGTCAGAGCACAAATCACTTATGTCTCTGTGTAAAACTGTGGGGTACTGTGTTGTACTGGAACAAAATGTTTATTCTGTCCATGGTAGCAAAATTATTTTGATGCAAATGAAAGGACATATATGGATACATAGTGCCTTATGTGTTACTAATAAACTTGAGATCTGCAATATCACATATAAACAAACCTTAAATACACTACAGGAAAGAAAACTGCATCACATTTGTATTGCTTCCATTTCGTTTTCATCACAGGGTCCAGAGCACTCATCTGCACGCCCTGAAAGATTTCTACAGATGTGCAATGATGACCCAGATGTATTCCCTGTGAGTTTGTGTCAGAATGTCATTAAGGAATCATAGTCTGTCAAGTAAATGATTTTCAAGTCTGAAAAGAGAAGGAATTTCAGAAGTTAAATCAGCATTCTTTTTAATGGCCAGCAGGGGGAACTCTACAGCCAAAAACAATCTGTCTATCTAGGGAATCTATGACCTAAGTAAACATACAACATTATGTTCATTTTGTGCATTTTGAGCATGCTTTAGTGTAAGCCTGTGTCATGGTTGATATGTTTCTCAGTTATATCAGTCCTTAATCAGCCCATCTGGTTTTAAAAAACTTAGTTCAGCTAGAGGCTTCAACAGCAAAAACAATGGGTGGCATCACAGTAACTACGTATGTTAAGGACAGAGTGGAACATGCAGTGCAGGTTGGATTTGTATTTTGCCACAATCAAAAATATCTTTCTGTTTTTCTTTGGACTCATTAGTAATTTTCCGTCCTCTTCTGTCTTTGTCAGAGTCATATTTTTTATTTGATTAATTTACCTTAGTACCTAAACAAATTAAATAATTGGAACAAATAATTCTGTTCTTTTGAATTTTTGAATTAAATAATTGTATTGTGTGCATTTTGTCATCAGGTTGACTATACTTTTCTTATCTTTTTTAATCTTCCACGTAAAATTTTGTATGTTGTATTGTAATTTCTGTTTGTTTTTTTTACGTCATTGTATGTTGGCAGAAACTGTCTGAAGACTTTGCCATGTATCAGCTTTATGACTGTAACTGGATTGTTGTGAACTGCTCTACTCCTGCAAACTACTTCCACGTTCTCCGCAGACAGATCCTGCTGCCTTTCAGGAAGCCCGTAAGAGATATATACCAAAACATGCAAGATAAGAGTCAATTGAAATTATGAACATGTTCTATGCTCTGTCTTTAATCGCAGCTCATAGTACTAACTCCAAAGTCGCTGTTGCGCCACCCTGAGGTTAAGTCCAGCTTTGATGATATGCTCCCAGGTGAGTACAAATCAAAAAAGTGCAAAAGAACTTTTAAAATATTTGGTTATTTTCTGTTTTTATGATTTCTGTCATGCAGGCACACATTTCAGTCGTCTAATCCCAGATAATGGGCATGCAGCCACCAACCCTGAGAAGGTGAAGAGACTAATTTTCTGCACCGGCAAGATTTACTATGAACTGACCCGGGAACGCAAGAACAGAGGCATGGACGAAGCTATTGCTGTTGTACGCATCGAGCAGGTAATCAGTGTTTTGGTAAAACTGTTGTGTAAGTCTGTAAAAAGCTGAAACTGAATCTGAGACTGTGGAGTGACTTGTTTAGTCTAATGTCAAGGCAATTTCACACTTCACATACTTCACTGCCGTACAGGTAAAACAATGGTGGCATGGCCTTATAGTGTGCAGTATTTGTCTGCCTTAAGTCAATCACAGCACCTTGTTAGGCAACACCGCACAGACTTCCACACCAAAAGTAGCAGAAACTTGAGTGTTCATTCCAACTACATTGTGGCATCTTTCTTTTTTTGGCAGCTGTCACCATTCCCCTTTGATCTGGTGAAAGAAGAGGCTGATCACTATCCAAATGCAGATTTGGTTTGGTGTCAAGAAGAGCACAAAAACCACGGCTACTATGACTATGTCAAGCCCCGCATCAGCACCACCATCGGTCACACACGCCCCATCTGGTAAGTTTGACTTTAGCTGACTGTACACCTGAAGACAGGGCAGTATACCAGTCCATTTACCAATATGTTCACTATTGTTCGTCTCCACATGTCTAAACCACCATGCTTGTCTCACTAACTATGTCTTTAAACCCTCAATCTAAACTGTCCCTCTGATATATCTAATCGAGTCCATTCTGGTCTTTTTGGTTGTGTCCCAAACCATACATCATAACAGGTCTTACTAGTCTTGTAAAACTTCCCTTTCATTTGTGCTGCCATTCTTCTGTCACATATCATACCTGATTTATCGTCCCTCTGATATAATCATTTCTAATCCTGTTCAACTCTGCCTTTTGTTTTTGTTTTTTTTAGTGCCACCCAACTATAAAACTTAGCAGGTCTGTCTGCCATCTATTAAACATTTCCTTTCATTCTTACTGCTATCCTTCTGTCATACATCACCCCTGACACTTGCCTCCACTCACTGCACCCCACGTGCACTCCTATCTTCACCAGTCTTGCTTTGGACGGTTGACCCTAGATATTTAAACTCACCCACCTTCACTGTTACACTTGTCTCTTTCTAATTCACACACATGTATTCTTCATGTACCTTCTTCTCCCCAGTGCATACCTCTGCAGACCCTCATTTCCCTGATACCTACTTTCACTACAGGCTATAATGTCAAACATCATAGTAGACACAGCCTGACCTCATCTGTCAACCTGTCCAAGACCAATACAAAAAGGAAGGCGCTCAGTGCCAATCCCTGATGTAATCTCAGTCCCACCATGAACCCATCTGCATCTTCTACCACACACCTCACCACTGTCTTGCATGTCCTGCACTTGCCTCACATATTTCTCTGCTATTCCTGACTTTGTAGTACAGTATCACATTTCCTCTTGGCACTTATATGCTTTATCTAGTGCTACAAAGACACCGTGCAACTCCTTCTGACCTTCACTCTTTTGTAGCACACTGCTGCTCACTGATAGTCACCTGTCTTTGTCTTCATGGTCATCAGTTTTTATTTATTTGCACATTTATCGAATGCTTTTTAAAAAAAAAAACCTTTCCCCCCCCTTTTCGTTTTCTTTGGGCCCTTGGCCGGGGGGTTCCGGGTTTGATCCCCTGACATTTTGAATGGTAAATGGATCACCCTACCACCTAAGCTACAGCCATCCTGCAGGACACATTGAATTGCATCATGAGCAGTGATATTATAGTAAACAGGAGTGAGAACTCATACATCATTTAGAGGCCATGTCAGTACACAAACACACAGCAGACGTTTAATGTTGTGACTTTTAAATGTTGAATAAACTCACAGCCTCATTCCACTGTTCTTCACAAATATTTTGTGTTTAATTTACTCCCAAAAAGAGGAAAAGGCATCTGTAAACAAAAAAGAAAAACCTGTAAACCAGGTTAAAGGTGATTGTTATTGGCAGCATTGTTCTCTTTTTTTTAATGTGTGTGTGTGTGTGTGTGTGTGTGTGT